TTTTTAAATTTTTTGTCTTTTTTTTTTTATTTCCCTAATTTCTATTATTTCTTTCGCACTTATCTTTTTCCCACTTCTTCCCCCTCCCGACCCAAAATTCCTCGCCCCGTCACGTCCCAACCTTTTCCCCTCTTCGACCCCATCCGTCATCCGTTCATTCGCTGCCCATGGGTGAAGCTCCCTCTGATTCCACTCTCGCAGTTCAGCTCTATCCTCCCCGATCTTACAACACAAGGATCAATTAAAAAAAAAGAAATAAAAAAGTTGGTAACCATCTCATTCCTTTTTTTCCTTTCCTTTTTTTTTTATGCTTTCCTGCCATACTTTTTCTCCCACTTTTCCCCCCCTTCCTACAGTTCCTCTTCGCCTCTTTCTCAATAGAATTGTGAGTGTGTGTCTCAAAAAGGCTCCGTTCCGGGTCGTGGTCGAGATTCAGTCAATCCACTCGGCGGCTGCAGAGAGACTTAGAAGGATTAGGCTTAGTTAGGTCCTGCGTTTGCTGTGCGCCCCCAGCCTCCTCCACCTTTCGTGTATGATCTGCTGCTGCATTGCAATCATTCTTCTCTTTCCACCGCCGCCTGAGACTGCCATGATCGCCCACGCCGGGAGTGTCTAGGAATTTTTGCTTTTATTTTTATTTTTATTTATTTTTATTTTTCATTTTTTTATAACGTATTTCTTGGTCTGAATTTTGAATTTCTATTTTCTGATCTTCTCCCTGTTCACGGTACCAGTCTCCCTTGTCCGCCTTGTTAGTGCACCACCATCCCTTTCGTTTGACACCTTTTATACAACCTCCCGACGTTCCACTTGAGATCCTCTCTTGCTACGATCACCGTCTCTTTTCTTTCTTCTATTGTTCTTGTTCGAGACGACTGTTGTGATGACTTGAATGCCCTGCTTACTTCTGTTTTATCTATTTTATCTAGACTGTACCCTTGTTCACCTTGAAGCAGCACGTTATATTGGACGACCTGCTACGACCTGTTACGAATCACTACGAGCTTGTTCCCTCTGAGAATAAGAAAAGCCAGCACTTTGCCTACTTGTGCGTGTTTTGTTCATCGATAGTACGAAACTGCGTCAAAGTCACCAGAGAAGCATTCGACGTTTGATGCTGGACTGTCACGTCGCCCTTCCCCGCGCTCTTCTTACGACTTGATACGAGACCCATGATTTCGTGCTTCTGATTTGGTTGAGCGATTTCTGTTGTCCAGCCGCAAGCGCGCTATTTTACCTGACTTTCATGGTTTTGCGTCTGATCACTCCAATCTTCGTACATAATTGGATGTAGATTTCTGCCCGTTTACGCTGCATAGCGATTTTCTCGGTCCAGTTACGCCAGCGATCTTACAGCGTTTTACGGTTACGATTTTCAACGAGCTTACCACGATTGCACTTTGCATTTCCCGCATTGTTTGTTGAAGTTATCCATTATTCCTTGACGACATATCTGCATTCGCTCTAAACTCGGTGCTAGCATCGATATCGGTTTCCTTTGTACTTGACGAATTAACTAGTTGCCTCACTTGCATGACGACTTTCACTTTGTGATCTGACCGGAACTACGACAAAAAAACGCAAAAAAGGGAAAAAAATACTATTGTGGCACGTTGGAGACTTTTGAATCCAACGGCTAGAAACTCCGAATCACTTCGTTTATTAGAACCGTTACCCCCCACAAACCGAAAAGCTGGAGCTGCCGTCGATTTCCCAGGTCCACACCAGAGGTCCTGTTGATATTCCTTGGTATAATCACCACGCTGCTGAGAGACCTTTATTGTCTGGCGACAAACTCCCGGCTCTCAGTTTACCGACGGCCTCGCAGCCGCCAATCTCGGGCCAGTCCTATCGGACTAGCTACGAAGAGGCCTCGGCATCCCAGAACGCGAGTGCTCGGACAAGCCTATCCGGAACCGCACCCCTCATCAACGAGGCCAGGAGCCCCCCGCAGTCTGCGGACTTAGCGGCTGGTGGTCAGGGCCGGCTCTCTCTGGATTCCTCCGCTCCACAGGAGTATTCCATCCCGCAAAACACCGTGGGTGATAGCTACTATCCCAACCCGACAGCAATTGGCAGCATGAATCATACACAACCATACATGGATGTCCACTCATCGCATTTGTCATCGGCACAACCCTATGCTTCTCAGGCGGCCACTGCTGGTGGAATCGCCCATTACCCTCAATATCATCAGCAACCGCCTGTATTGCAGCCGGCGTCGACTACCTATGGTCCCGCCAGTTCCTATTCCCAATATGCTTATCCTGGCGGTGTCACATCGTCTCAACCTGGCCCGCAGCCTCCAACAACATCAGTAAGCAGCCAGGTCCCGGCCCAGCTGTTACCATTGCCAGGTATATCTCTCAAAATATTGCTTTTACGGTACGATACTAATAACACTTTCTCATTAGTTTCCAGCCACACAGTTGCACCTCCGGGATACGGAAACAATACCGGAACGCCTATGCAAGGCTACGTGTACGATGCTACAGGTCAAGTAGCTCCGCCCGGTGCCAAACCACGGGTCACAGCCACCTTGTGGGAGGACGAAGGCAGCCTTTGCTACCAGGTTGAAGCTAGAGGAGTTTGTGTTGCCCGCCGGGAAGGTGAGTACCCCAATCGATGTCTTCGCGTTCCTGAAAAACTTGGGGCTGACCTTCATGTAGACAATCATATGATAAACGGGACCAAGCTGCTCAACGTGGCTGGCATGACTAGAGGTCGCCGCGACGGGATTCTCAAGAGCGAAAAGATCCGTCATGTAGTCAAGATTGGTCCAATGCACCTGAAGGGAGTTTGGTATGGTCGTCTGAGTCTGTTACCTTTATATGATCCTAACCTAGTTTTCAGGATCCCATTCGAGCGCGCCTTGGAGTTTGCCAACAAAGAGAAGATCACAGACCTTTTATACCCTTTGTTTGTGCACAATATCGGAGGTCTTCTGTACCATCCCACTAACCAGACCCGGACAAACATGGTTGTGCAAGAGTCTCAGCAACGGCGGTTAGAAGGTCCTCAAGCCACGCGGGCTTCACAGGGCCCACAACCCCCTGCCTTGCATCATCATCACTCGCTCCAAACCCCGGTTCCATCGCACATGTCTCAGCCTCACGCAATGACGGCCCAGTCTGCTGCCAGGCCTGGTCTTGATCGCGCCCATACTTTCCCGACCCCTCCTGCCAGTGCGTCCAGTCTCATGGGTATCACTAACCAGGGGAGCTCCTATGAGTGGGGGAACCAAGGAATTAACTCGGGCGTGCCCAACACACAACCTCTATCGATCGACACGACGTTGAGTAACGCACGGTCGATGCCTACCACTCCGGCCACAACCCCCCCGGGTAGCAATATGCAAGGGATGCAACCATATCAGAGTCAGTCCGGATACGATAGCTCGAAATCGTACTACTCCGCCGCTCCTCCATCCCACCCTCAATATGCTCCCCAGCAACCCTTGTCCCAACCTATGGCCCCTTACGGCCAGACTATGCCCGCCAATGCGTATATTAAGAACGATATGGCGCCTCCGACGGCAAGGTCTTCAGGGGGACCGCCAGATGTAGAGCAAGCTGATGTGAAGGCTGACCGGTACTCCCAGACTAATGGACATGTTGGCAGCGGAGCGGGTGAGCCTGTACCTGAGCATGAGCCTGAGTACGTGCAACATGATAGTGCAGCCTATAACACCAACCGCGGGTCTTATACATACACTACCAACCCTTCTGTTGGAAGTTTGGCGGGTGATCATTCTCAACTCGCGTCTGATATGTCTGGCTCCCCCTCGCAGCAGAACGGGTCCGGACGCATGACCCCCCGTACAAGCGGAGCGCCTCCCCAATGGGCCTCAGGATACAGTACGCCTCCCCGACCCGCTGCCGTCAGCAGCCTCTACAACAGTGTCAGCGAAGCTCGTGGTGCGGCGGCGAATGGAACGACTGATAATTACTCTGTCGCCTCGAATCCAGCACCCGGGTACTCGACGGGATTGAACGGGCCTCTGGGATCAGGAAAGCGTTTACGGGAGGATGACGATGTGGACCAAATAGTTCGGCCAGATAGTCGGGGCGCGGAATTTGAGAGTAAGCGCCGGAAGACTTTGACTGAAGCGACGGTTGGTGGTCCGGTTGGAGGAGTACCACTTGGATTACAACCCATGAAGGCCGGTGGTGTTATGTCTCGCCGTCGCTAGAGCCTTCAAATAGTATTACCTTGATTCTACGGGCTTCGGAGGACCAAAGGAAAAAAAAAAAAAAAAGACAAAAAAAAGACATAAATTCACAGAAAAAGACCATGATACTCCTTTCTGACGGTGAAGGGTGGCCTCCGAATCCCTTGTCTTGTTCAAATGCATTGCAGGGTTTTCATTTTCCTTACATCTTGAATAGACTACACATTCTTACGACTCGGCACTTTCGAATGGGATGATTGATTTCTCATCAGCAGTTGGTTACAACACATCTGCAGTTCAGAGAACATGCTACGTTATGTTGTCGAGTCGTTTCTTTGCAGCGTGCTTATGTTGGGTAATTGTTAGAGATGGGACATTACACTGAAAACGGTATGGATGTCTGGCTACGATCGTTATAATGTCTGAGTTTTCCCCTTTTCGGCCACAAAAGGGTGTGCGCTTTGGGTTGTCGTTGCAGTGTTGGAATTCCGCCGGCCTGCTTTTCTCGCTTTCTCTATGAATGAGGGTTGGTCAGCGTTATGGTGCTTCTGGTCATCTTGTGCTATTGCGATTTTCCGACAGGCTATATTTAACGACCATGATGAGACGAATTTCCTTTTACGAGTTTTTATATTGCTGTGGCTCGTTCTCCATTCATGCATCAAGGGCCAGTAGGCCCTGGGTTCTGTTAGTGTTTTATGTATGGGTTTATTCTAAAAGAAAAATACTATCGGGTTTCAAGATTCACTCTTTCCAGTAAACTACTTTTCATATACTGATACGACCATTGCTGTGAAAACGCACTGACCATCTGCTCAATCGCCCGTGATCATGTTGGTTTCTTGCATGGCTTAGACTTATTTCTCTCATAAACATAGCGTGAAAAGCGCAAGAGGTCGGTATGAAGCACTGGTTTAGCTGCCACCAAACCCTCATTGGCAGCTAGCCTTCTCCCATGAGCATAGTTGAAAGGTCGACCATATAGGTCGGTAACCGTGCCGCCTGATTCCTCAAAGATGAGCATCCCCCCAGCATGGTCCCATGCAGGGAACCGGTGGTCCTTGGCCTTGGGAAGGCGGATCATCGCGTTGCATGCACCAATTGCTAGGGCTACATACTTGACTTGCATAGAATAAAGGTCTACCACCGGATTGGCGAGTAGTATGTCCCTGATGAGCTTGTGCTTCTCCTGATGCACAACACCGCTGATCGAGCTTTCAGTGAATGTGATTTTCTCCCCCATTCTTTGCCATGGACTCAGAGAAGTCTTCTGCGAAGGTCCCAAGCTGGACGAGGTCATCCGTCGCTTGTACGCACCCTGTCCCTTGACAGCGAATAATATCATCCCATACCCGTCTTTATCGATGATCTCCTCATGGACAGATGTGCTCTTGAACGCTACATTCGGACACCCGACTACCCCAACCTTCTGCTCCCCGTCCTCCACCAATGCCACCGAAACCGCATACTGCTGACCCCGTATAAACGTCGCCGTCCCATCAATTGGATCAAGAAACCAGGTCCGTTGACTCCCAGCTCCATCCCCATCGCCCCCAACGTCAATTGCACCCAGCATCTCCTCTATAGACCGTGGCACCGCGACTAAAGCGCCACCACCACCACCATCATCATCAACCCATGTCATCGTAGACACAAGTTCCCACACCCGCCGCGCAAGCACGGGGTCATCGCGAAGCACAGACGCAGACTCCTCGCCCACAAACATATCATTTGGAAAGTAATGACGAAGAATGCTGACGAGGATCGCCTGGGCGGCAAAATCGGCGACAGTCACGGGAGAACCGTCGGGTTTGTGGATGGAACCTATTTCGAGCTTTCTTTGGACGATTTTGGTGAGGATGCTGGCGCGGTGGACTGCTAAGGACGCGATTCGGAGTTCTTTGTCGTAGCTTGGGGAAAGGGTGGTCTCGTTGGTCATTGTTTCTTCTTCATTTTCATATTCTTCCTCTTGCTTCCGGCTTCTCTCATGGTTAATGTTGTCGATTGGTTTGGTGGTCATTCTGAGGGGGCTTTGGTTGGGGGTATTGATGGTGGGTGGGATATGGGTTCAAGTTGGCTGTTGGGGTTTAGCTCTTGATCACAATCTGTATAGTCTGTGGGGACAAAGAGGGTAAATAATAATGTTAACGATAGCGGTCCTTGAATTTATATTGGAAGAAGGAAGTCCGAACGTGAATTTGGAGGATCTGCAGTTGAGTGAATGAGTTTCCTAAGATGGAAACTACGTGCAGCGTTTATAGATTTGACTTAAGTTTGAGAATGGGGTAATTTTATTTTATTTTCTTCTTTTCTTGTCTTTTCTTTTCCCGCTTTATCTCTCTCCTCTTTGAGAGATTTTCGCATCTCTAACTTAATGAGAACTGAAAATGATACTAGTTAACATACTCTGCTCTATTCGTTGCTGATCTCTGGACAGGTCAGTGCAATACAATTGGACTATAGGAGTTTGATAGCCAGTTCTTACTGAAAATTTATGCAAACAATTCTTTGTATACTTTTGTATATCCATGAGCCATTGCCGTGTATCCATATCATGGCTCTAATGCAATGCATGGTGTGTTCATTTACCTACAAAAAATAAACATAGAACCGCTTTGGGTCCTTCATAGCGCCGATATGTTTCATTTCCCCACCTGCGTGAATATCTGCTGCCAGATTTGTACCCACTGTTGCTGCTTGTAAGACGGCTTTTTCTGTGGGTCCCGGAATGTCCCGGATAAGATGTCCCGTATGCGAGCGCTAAGGATTTTCAACGCCAGCATAGACTTCCAATCTCGAACCGCGAAGCGGATTCGGTTGGCATCAATTGATACTACGCCGGAATACATCTATATTTGGGTTAGAATGCCAGGTCCATGTAGTCCTGTCTAGAATATTGGGAAGCTCAACTTACCTTGAACTCCGCCTCGCCGCACAACAGTGCAATGGCGAAGTCGTCCACGGCGTTCGTCTCGAAAGCGTTGTAGTTCCGGTTCCGGCCCTGCATGATGTGATAATACGACAGCCACTTCATGGATGCATCGGCTTGTTTGTTGACTGAGGTCGGGTGAAGTGTAACAGCTTGGTTGTTGGCAACGTTCCGCCAGCCTTTGCCCTCGCGTGTCAAGAGCTTCGGATAAAAGCTCCAAGCAATGACTGCATTGACAATGACGTCGCTGCTGCTGTTGATATCGTATTCTTCAGGGATGGTGAAGAATTGACGCTGGCGACCGCCGTATCGAGCTCTGCATAATGTTAGCTGCGCGATCAAAAATTAGAGGTAGTGTTGGAGAGGCGTGATCGGTGCGATATATGATATACCTGTTCAGAGCCGTTTTCTGGGTCGGGTCTAGATTTAAAAGTCCGGCGTCGGCGATAGACACGATAAGCTGCATCTTGATATCTTCAATATTTAACAATGTCTGGGAGCTGAGAAAGTTTTTCCGACAAAAAGCATACTCGTTAGCGCCAGGCGTGTTTCTCGTGCGTTTCCAGGCGCAGTATGCATTGTACACGGTCAATAGATCAGAGTCGCCTGCGAAAATGTCAGCCCGCCGATATAGGCCCGACTAATATAGGCAGTACCTTTCTTGAACGAGAGCCTTGCAAGGTCCTTCTGAGTGTTGGATCCCATGGTATTAACAAAGGGTGATTTAGAAGAGAGAATAGCGGCGATACTAATAGAGGCATCTAGACACTTGAAGAAGGTCCCGTGAATGATTAGTTTCCCAAGAAAGACGTCCAGCGGCAGCTTAGCAAGCTGCATACCCAACGGAGTCAAGTTCTCTGAATTTGTCAAAGCTTTGACCTCCTTGAGAGAGTCTATAGCGCGGCGGATGTTCTTGGAAGAAGGCGCGTCCAGGGCTTCAAGAAGAGTGGGCTCCACTTCTCCCAGCTTGCAGATCTTCACCCGTAGTACCAAATCTTGCAAAGAGAGACGAAGCATCTCTGGAGTTTGTTGTTCAGCGAGCTATACAACGTTAGTGGAGTATCTTCTGCCTGAACTCAACATAGCATACCAATTTTTCATGTCTGTGCTTCGTGAACATGTGAAAACAGATTCCGTTCTGAACACGCCCCGCTCTTCCCCGTCTTTGTTTCGCATTCGCACGCGAGATAAAGGCTTCAACTAATCTTGAGAGCTGGCGTCTTTCATCGAAGCTATCATAGTGTCAGTTAGCAAAATACAAGTGTGGTGTGGGGTCAGAGAGACTCACCGCATAGTTTTCTCCTTGCCCGTGTCAATGACGGCAGTGATATCCGGAATCGTGATACCTACTCAAGTCAACAACCTGTGGCAGGCATAGCCAATTCTTAATAATAGCGGGACACGTACCGGTCTCGGCGATATTGGTGGCAATTACTATCTTCTTCATGCCCTCTGGAGGAACAATGAATGCTTTCTCTTGGTCCTCACTGGCAATTGAAGAGTGCAGCGCATGGACGATCCATCCCTGTTGGAAGGTCGATTCCGAGAGAATCTCATCATTCAGGCGGCGGATTTCGGCCATACCAGGCATAAAGATCAATATAGCTTTGCTGTAGTTTGCCATCTCCGGGGCTGTAGCAATCTTGATAAGTAATTTCTTTATTAGCTGGTAATCAAGGCGGTATTCATCAAAGTTCAGAACAGTATCCCTGGTCTGTTTAGAATAACCTTCAAGGGACGCTAGCATGCCTCCTGTGGTATCACCTTCGGAATTCTCTGGCGCCATCTCGTCGGTGTCTTCATCGAGATTAGCATTCGAATCATTCTCTGACAGTCGGTAATTGGTCATCTCCACAGCATCCTCTAAGAACTTCATTTCCACAGGGAAAGTTCGTCCCGGGATATTAAGGACAGGCACACCACCGAGGTAGTTAGAGAACCTTTGAGCTTCAAGGGTAGCCGACATTAATATCAATTTTAGATCAGGACGCCTCTGCATTAGTCGACGAAGGACTATGAGAAGGAAGTCGCTGTCGATAGAACGCTCGTGAACCTCATCAAGGACGACATGCGTGATATCTTGGAAATCGTCTGGGCGTTCCAGCATACGCACCACAACACCAGTTGTCCTAACTCGGGTCAGTATAAACTCCAGAAACGAGTTGCAGACGGAGAACCTACGCAAATACTAGTCTTGTCGACGGGTTGACTTTACTCTCTAACCTGACAGCAAACCCAATGAGCGAGCGTGCTGTCCCAACATCATTTTTGCTTTCTCCTAATTCTTCACTAACCCTTCGCGCTAATGATATAGCAGAGATCCTTCGGGGCTCCGTCACATAAATTTTACAAGGACGGCCCTGTGTCATCTCATGCTCAAGGATGAATGAAGGTATCTGCGTGCTTTTTCCGCTACCGGTCTCACTACAAATGATGAGCGCACGGTGGGTATCAAGAGTGTTAAGTATATCATTTTTGAAAGCCCAAATTGGAAGATTCATCCTGCCTTGTATCATATGATTGAAAGAAGGAGTCGATGACTTCTCCATCCAAATCCTTTGCAACTGAGACTCAGGGCCTGAAGATTCCCTTGCATTGGATAACCTGGCTGGAGACTCTGGCTTGCTAGAGGTCCCATTTCTTCTCCGAAAATTATCTGATAGCACCACATCATCTTCAGAGTTACCTTGATTCTCCTGTATCAGCTTCTTCAGGTGCTTTATTGTCTTCTTATCAATCTCATCTTCTTGGAGTTTTTTCGCACTCGCGAACTCTGTCCAGAGCTCCCTCCACACTGCTGGAAGCCGCAGATAAGCCTTGCCCTCTTTCGAATTCTGTGGGAACAGGATAAAAAGAGCAAGCATCGAGACAAATGCCTCCGCTTGCTGTGTAGTTGGTGTTGCTATCGTGTCCATGGAGACAAAGGTGGCATAAGCGCTAGATTTGTGTGTGACTTTGTCCCATTCAAACAGAAATGGTACATCCTGTGGTTTGGACCACCTCACCTCTACCGCTTTTCTGTTCGAGTGTGGTGCAGAAGAGAAGTCCTTGAAAATAATTGCACAGCTGGTATCCCTAAGATGTACCGTTACCGTCAGCAAAGTCTATTCTCATCCACGGAAGACCTTTGCATACCTTGCCTTGCATGTATCTTCCAAAACTCGTCGCGGGCTAAGTCCAGTCCATTTACCGAAGTCACGGATCGTGATAGAGGCTTTGTTCAACTCTTCAAGAATAACACCTGTCTCCAAAGCTGGCTCCTCGGCTTGGAACATGCCCCCTAAGAGATCCGCAATCTCCTCGTCATCGACCGGCTGCACGTCGGACTTGGGTTCCGCCACCTTTTCCTCTGGCTGATCTTTGGCTCCAGGCTCGTCGAGGGAAGTTTGCTCGGCGGGCGGATTCTGCCTAAAAAAAGCCGCCTCCTTTCTTAGATCATCGAGTTTCTCTTTCCACCGGTACTCAGCTTCCGTGCGGTCGAAAAGGACATCATTTTCAATGCTGGCAATCTTTCGGCGAATCTTCGCTACTCGGGGTTCGTTGGTCTCAAGCGCAGTATTTTCACGAGTAGGCTTTTTCCCTTTCCTAGGCCTATCAAAGATTTCAGGTTGAAGATTATATAGCTGAGTCTGCAATTCCATGTACTTTGGTAGCAAAGTGTCAGGATCCAGAGAACTATCAGAATCATAAGGGCTCAATATAGGAGGAAGAGGCTCCTTTGATGGACCTTTGGTCTGTTTCACTTTGCTATCATTCTGAGTCAAGCTTAGAGTAGAAGATTGTACTGGCTCACGATCTGATGCCGGTTAGCTCTCTTCAGTCACTGCGTAGATGCTAGTCATATTTTCAGGTTTACCGGTTATCCAGGAAAGATTCTTTTCATCTTTGCGCAGCTGAGCATTGGTTTGAGTGTAGGACGGTAGTTCCTTGGGGTTGCAGTGCATTGCCAGCCAGTCTAGAGCCTCGTCCAGATTACACACAATCTCCCTATTGACAGTGGCAAAATTACCAGGAAAATAGTGTAAGAGATGTTTTAATGAATCCTCTACTTTCTCCTCGGGAAAGCCGAGCTTCAGAAGGGTCTCCCTTAACGTCCACAATTTCATGTACAGGTCTTCTTCTGAGCCAGGCTTTTTCGCTGTATTCGAGTCCCGTACCGAGGACGGGCTCAATTCATGCTCTTCTGCCTCAGCAAGTTTAAGAATTGAGTCCAGCACTCCAGCAGGAAGCCATTCTAAAAGACTTAACGAGAAGGCTTGTTGCCGGAGTATCCGTCGTTCTGTTTCCAATTTCGAAACTTGACGGACTGCATCATTCTTGCACCTAGAGGCATATTTCTCAACCATGATTTGCAGCTCCGCATCCTCAAGATGTCTCTCAAGTTCCTCAGGTGAGTAATTCTGTAAGGATGGAGCGTCCTGTGTCTCCGTCGCAGGCCGGCTGCTTTCCGCTGGGGTTGGCCGTTCACTTTCTGAGACCGATTTGGATTCTGCTGTCGATGCCGGCGCTGTGGAGTTAGTCGATTTAGGCTTGGAAGGTACCGAAACGGTTGCAAACCCTCGAGCTGGGTTCGCGGCGGGCTTCTTCTTTTTCTTATTGTTAGGCGGCATAGTTGCGAGGAGGGGAGATGGTCTTGGCCACTGCTGTGAGAGAAGGATATGGGGGTTTAATGAATGATCTCGGGTTTTCAGAATAGGAGATAGCTAGAGATCTCTAAAAAAGATATTAGTCTATAAAACGAGTGAGGGAGTGTCAGTGGAATGCAACATTAAGAGTGTGGGAATTAAATGGTGGTCATCAACTGGAGCTTTGGACGATTTCCCCACAATAAAACCACGCCGAAAACTTTTATGACAACATCGGCGGCAGCGAAAGGCAATTCAACTCAATTCCGTTCCTTCCCCGTGGAATCTAATCAACATCCCTCACCTCGACATGCCCCAGGGTTCCTAACATGGACGACTTTCCATGGGATCAGGTGAAATCTGGAGACCTGGAGAGCCTGTTGATCGTTCTCTTTTCGAGTTCGACATCTCGCAGAATTCGTGCTCTCCAGGAACTCCGTGAGAGAATCGGTAAAATAACCCCAAACAACCCCTCTCGTATGATCTCTCGCTAACCCTTCACGCTGTAGGGTCGGATCTCCCACAACAAACCCGTGAGCCTCTCCTTGGGCTCCTCTTCAAGACCTATCCTCGTTATGTCGATCGCCCCTCCCGTCAAGCCGTACAGCAGTGTCTCCGCTCGCTTCTCAAGGCCCCGGTCCCGACCGACGACCTAAAATATCTCACACAGAAGCTGCAGGCAGTGGCGTCTAGACCTGTATTATCATCTACCTCTGCACTCGTGCTGCTGGAATGGTGCTCGGTTATCTTACAGGCTCTAAGCAATGATCCTGAAACACCGCTTTCAGCCGTATTAGACATTATCGCGGCAGATGCGAAGATACTTGAGATTTGTTTGGCCTCTAACCCCAAGCCTTCAGTGAAGCAGTCGGCCCTTAGAGTCACGAGACGTGCGCTGCGGGCCGTTTTCTCGTCGGGAACTTGGGGCGAGGATGCCGTTTGCCAGTCTACTCGTCGTTTGACTACCGATTCAACTTCGGGACAGAAGAATGCTCCCTTCCTGGGAGTCATATCCGGCGTGTGCGCCCGCCTTCCAGACAAGAAACCTGTTTTGGAAGGGGAAAAGAAGTCGATCATCAATTTCTATGTCAAGGAATTAGCTGGGTCGAAAACCGCACCACCAGCCCACATTGCAGATGCTCTCTCCGACTTCTTCGTCTCTTTCGTTTCATACGAGGATGTGGTGTCCGACATTGTACCACCCCTAGAAAAAGCTATTTTGCGTTCCCCGGAGGTGGTTCTCAGCGGACTTGTACCTTCATTATGCATGTCATTACCCGAACAGATGGACTTGTCAGATATTCTGCATTCAAAACTGTTGAAGCACCTTCTTTCCAGCATGAAGTCGAACAATGCAGCCACCAGACAGGGTGCTGTTCAGTCGTTTGAGTCACTGCTCTCAAGGTCGAAAACTGAAAAATTGCTTCTTAAAGTCACAACCGAAGTTGTTGGTCCTTTGAAGACTCAGAAAATTACAAACCCCGAGCAGCGCGCCGTGTATGCTCAGGCACTCTCGGCTACGCGGCCTTCCACTGATGTCTCGAAGGAGGTGGTCCAGGGGTTTGTTCCTGTATTCGCACGAGAATCCAACGAAGCTGCGCTGGAACAGGAAATCAAAGCATTCTGTAAACATCTAGCATTTCTCGTCCAACACAAGGTAAAAGTCAACGATGATGTTATCAACGCCATTGTGAAGGGATCTGCAGAGAAAAGAATTCCGTTCCGAAAGCTCTGGCAGCTCAATGTGGGCGAATTGCTCTGGAGCGCCGATTCAGCGACCCTAGTTAGTGCTGAAGTTGAGCCGTTCGTGACCAAATTCATGAGTAAAATGAAAGATCTGTTCAACGAAGTGGCTACTAACCCCTTGCCGTCGGCCCAGAATGGCTCGTTATCGACGGCCTATGTCTTTCTTGCACTTGCTGAGCGGTTGTCTTCAGTACAAGGCTTCGATAAAGTCACATGGGAAGAATTGGTGCCCCAGATGATGGTCCTTAGCCCTAAGCCATCTCTACTGCTTAACCCAAAAGCTTATTCAAAGTTGACCACCCAAGGAGAGGTCGAGTGGGTTACGAGAACACTTGCAGCTGTGTCGTCTGGAACTAAGTTTGAGAGTGCGGAAGACGCAGCCAAAATTGCATGGGGCCAGGCGTTTATATATGCCATCACTATCCCCGGGCTTCATTCAAACTTCCGAGAGCGATCCGCTAGCATCCTATCAGAAGTTCATCTTAAACGAGTAGGATTCATCGGTCGCATCGTAATAGATTCTTTGTGGAGCTGGATACTTTCTCTGAGAACTTCTGAGAAAGAGTCTGCGCCTGTTTCTGCAGGATCGGAAAGCCTGAAATTCCTTCATTTGGTAATGAAAGCCATTTGTTCACCTGTATCAAGTCTTCCAGAACAAGAGAAGGCATCTTCAGAATTGAAGAGCCAGCTTATCGAGCTCATCGTCATTGGCCGTCCTGAGTTGATCCCGAATGTCTCATGGATTACGCTATGCCTGAGGACTGGCATTGACCCTGGCAACCTCGTCCGCGAATTCGCCGATGAGTCTATGAATCAATTGACACGGGTGCATAATGACCCAATTCAATCCAGGGTTCCTCAAGTCGACGATGCTATCTGGAGCGCAGCCGGCGAGTTGGCTTTCGTGGCGCCTGACGCTATGGTTTCCCGACTTGTGGCTCAGATCAAGGACGATTTGGATGCTTCACGTGTGTCCAAGTTCACTCCAACTGACGTTGCTATTGCTCGGACACCCGAAGGAACCATGTTTGTTGATGTCCTTAGCACCAAGTCGAAGCCTGCTTTCGACAAGAACACGAAAGACTATGACATTCTCAAGTGGGAAGAGGAATTACGAGCACAACTAGCAGAGAAAAAGGGCCAGAAACAAAAGAAACTGACTGCGGATGAGCAATCTAAAGTGAAAGCCCAGCTCGCGAAAGAGTCCAAGATCCGTGAAGAAGTTCTGCGGGAAATAAAAAGGATTGAAAGAGGCGCTGGGATCATGCAGGGTCTTGCAAGCGGTCCGGCTGTCGAAGCAGATGGCTGGATCAATACCGCAGTGGGATCTTTACTGTCTCTCGTGAAGGCCGGTGCAGGCTTAATTGCCGGTGATGTCGTGTCTAGGGCCTATATCAAGTGTGCGGAGAAGGTCTCTCCACGATTGGGCCCGTTGCGATCCTTCGTGGGCGTTGCAACTCTGCGGGCACTTGGCAGGAGCCAACTTTCCCCCGAGATGGATGCAGAACCCCTCGGTCAACTTGTGACAAGAATTCTTTATCGTCTGCGCTTTGCATCCGAGCAACGTCCTTTTGATGTCACATCTCTAGCATACATCCTTCCACTTGTTCTTCTTGTTCTTAGTGGAAACGGAATTGATGAACAAAAGGGAGAGGAGGAAGGTGAACAAGTTCTGCTTGCGCTTGAGTTCCTATCCTTCCATTCGGGGTCATTTACCGACAAACGTCTTCCCCGTGCTGATGTTCTAGATCACTTGCTCATATCAATGCAAAAGTATACTCAGCATTACAAATTGATTAAGGATACTCTATTCGATTTCAGCAGGTGTATCTCACCCACTATCAACAATGCTGAGCTGGACGTTCTTCTGCAGGGTACCATCGTTTCAGACACATCTGTTCGCACAGCTGTACTGCAGGCTATCGATGCCGAGATTGACCTGACCGACTTGGACTTCTCTGAACACGTTTGGCTAGAATGCCATGACCACGTGGAAGAAAACGCCGAAATAGCCGAGACAATCTGGGATGATAATGCACTGGAAGTCGATGACTCTTCCTACGGTAAAATTATTCCGTATCTTGCGTCCAAGGACTCCCAGCTCCGCGGTGCCGCTGCTCGTGCGTTGGCACATGCCCTTGAGTCCAATCCAACCAAGTTCGAGGAAATATTTTCGGAACTGCAAGCTAAGTACGAAAGCGAGGCCAAGCCTAAGGTGCCAGAAAAGGATATGTATGGGATGCCCAAGAAAATGGACATGGCCGATCATTGGGAGTTCCGCAGCGGTATTGCCCTCGCTTTTACCGCCATGACGAACGGGTTTGAGGGCGAACAGATTTTGTCTTTCCTCAG